GGCACTTATACTGTAGTACAGTCAAATGTATAATGTAAGAATGCAAGGATGGCATTTAAGTGGTTTCATGAGGCATGCATCCTTAAGCCCTGGTTCACACCAGTGTAGCTTTGAAATCATGCTACTACAAAGCTGACTATTCAGTGCAACTTCATTGTGACTTGCTGACACTCTGTGCAACTTCATTTAACAGATGCCAATGCAAGATGCAATGAAGTCGCATAAAAATAGCGCAGGAACCGATTTGAATGGTTCCATTGCCGCTAACAGGGTACAATTGGTGTGAATCAGGGCTTAGAATTGTTCCAACAGGAAATTCTTAGGGTAAAGTTATTCCAGGAGAGGGCGCTATCCTGAACCAGTTGCTATGCAGAAAAATTCTAAGTATTCCAGCACACTGGCCATGAGGTCTGCAGCTCTTTCCCTCAGTGCTGTCCTCTCCAGGGATTCCCTGGACAGAACCTGTGCTTTCCCTTCTTGCCAGGATCTTGTACCTACCTCTAAGCCTAGTCTCCCTATCAAGCATGTTCCTTTTCCTACATCCACTCCATCACTGCGGACTTGCCAATCTGGTGTAGAGGCTGCTATAAATATCACCTTTGTAGCCAAGATGGCCGCTCAAAACCTTTAGGAATTCAGTGCCTATATTTAGCAACTGGCTTTTCCAAGAAGATGCATGACATAACAGTCCTTTGCCAGACTCCCTTAGGTGGCAATAGCAAATGGCAATCACATTATTGCTTTGTTTACTACCAACAACTAAACAAGGGAGTGATCATCCAACTGGTCAGAAGTAGTAATCAGTAGGAGTTCTGCTTCCATGCATTACGTGTTTTTACTACATGGTAAAAAAAAAAGTCTTCTTTTTCTTTTCCGTAATGTTACTACAACCTATCACAAACTATTACAAACACAGAAAATATATGCATTAATGGATGACAAAACATACAATTGGCTTAAACCCCAAAGCTGTTTTTGTTTTGTTTGGCCATTATTTTCCCCATCTCCTGTTTTATATTGCTTATATCTCTGAAAGGCTTGACTCCCAAAAGAGCACCACCACTAGTACAAGTATAACAAGGTCAGCATTATCTTAAGAGCAGTTATGATAAAATCAATGTCAATTCCCAAAAGATTACTGCATAGGTTATCACCCCTACAGTGCTAACTTTCAGCTGATGACAACAGAGTTTCAAAAGGTGTCTAATAAAAAAGAAGGAAATAGAGCTGTTAAAAAGCTAATAAAATAACACTTTCTGGGACAAAACATCACATTATTTCGAAAATAAACAGTTATTATAAAATGATGGCCCTATAACAAATATGAATATTATTATGTATCTGCACTTTTCATTTAGTCTAGGGGTGTGTCCAACCTGCTGCCATAGGACACATGCAGCCCAAGATGGCTTTGATGGCAGCCCAATACAAAATTGTAAACTTACTTAAAAATGTTTTTTTTTTGTAATTTTTTTGTAAAATGCGTTTACATATAGCAATTACATGTGGCTGAAGAAAAATTTTACAGTGTCTCTTTTATGGACTTTTGTAAGTTTTATTTTCCTAACGAAAATTATCCTACTCTTCACAGTCACGCCTTATTCAATTCATTGGTTTTCGGTAGCACCTATATTTGTGAGCAACTTTTTTCAAGGATGAAGCGCATGAAAGGGCAAAATTAGAACCAAAATATATGATGAGCACCATGAGTATTCAGTGAAAATTGCTACTACATCCATCGAGCCAGAAATTGATGCTTTAGTTTATTGAAAACTGTATAAAATATTGCACTAGTTTTATGTTGTCTTCTTTTACTTTTATAATGAAAAATATTACAAAAAATTAAGGTTTATTACTCAGATAGGTATAATATCTATATTAGTGACTGGTAACTTGAGATCTGCCCGGCTCTTTCTGCTCACCAGCTATCCTTATTGTTAGTGTATTTTATGTGTGGCCCAAGACAATTCCTGTTCTTCCAATGTGGCCCAGGGAAGTCAAAAGGTTTGACAGCCCTGCTGTAGTCCCTCTGCAAAGTAATACAAATACCAGTTGATCCTGCCTGTAAGGTCCACCCAATGCAGCTTCCTGTGTGTATGGCAACAATGCTGCACTGTTTCTGAATTCAGAGTAGAGTTGCCTCTCTCATGCATTCTGTATCTGCAAGTAGCAAGTGCCACTGCAGTCCAGTGGTGGCAAAGGGACAACGGTGTAGGCAATTACACAGGCACCTTACAGCATTGTCACTCAGATAAAAGAAAGAGTTCATAAGGTTTTTTTTTTTTTTTTACAGGATCAGCAGGTAAAGGAAAAGGCTTTAGAGATAGAGCTAACCTACCAAAGGTAAAGAGTTTACACCTTTACAATACATGGACAGTTTTTGCATTTTGACTGGACCTACACTTTAACCTTGTTTTGTGTATTTTGAAAATGTGAGTACTGAAACAAACTGTTAAAGCAATAAGTAACTGAGTGTATAATCTTCATTAATACAGGGCCATGCTTGCAGTGTGATTGCTAAAAAAAAAAAATGAGTGGCAAAAATATTTATTCCTCTCAAAGCTGAACAAATGTGCAGTATATTTCAATGAAATTAGAAAAGCAGAATAAAATATTACATGTAAAATGTGTTTGAATGTTGCAAGCACTTTTTGTGATTTGGGATGCATTAATGTATAATTACACTTGTAATTATTATACAGAAGAATGAATCACTATGTGACCATGGTTCACTGCACACCCATCAGGAGGCAGTTGAAGCCACATGTCACTGCAGCAATGCAAACAGATAGAAGCCCTAAAGACATCAGTACTTTAAAGATGCTAGCCAGGTAGGTAAGTAATAAAACTACTGACTCTGCAGTGCTAAAATCTCCTGTGGTGTCATTTTTGCTGCTAATATTTAGACTAAGTCTTAAAAAGGAATTTTGCTCTGGAAAAACAAAAATTAAAAGTGAGCAGCTATAAATTACATGCACTCCAAAGACATCCTGGTAGGTTAATTGGATCTTGTATGAATTGGCCCTAGTATGTGTATGTATGAATGTAAGTTAAGAGACCTTAGATTGTACGCCCCTTGAGGGTTAGGGACTGATGTGAATGTACAATATATATGTAAAGCACTGCGTACATTGATGGCACTATATAAGTACCTGACATAAATAAATAAAATAAATACTGTAGCTGCTGTTAATAAACATGTACTTACCAGTCCATGGATCCAGCGCTGTCTTCACCTGGGCCAGTTCTTCATCGGTCTTCAGGTTCTCCCATGCTGCCATCTTGGATGTGAGATGCCAGTTGGGACTTCCTGTCGCATCACAGCTGACTTCCCACTGCATGCGTAAGTAGTGCTGCACTTTCTCAGTGAACCCACAGCCTCCTGGGATCTGTGGCATTTGTCAGGAAGTTGCGGGCGGGGAAAGAGGGGGGCGGCGAACTGTCACTCGCACCTGTCAAAAATGCCCACTCCAAAAAAAAAAAATAATGCACCTCCAAAAGTAGTAGGCTGGAAAAAAAGCAGAACTTCCCTTTTTAGGTGAGGCTTCACTTTAAATTGGCAATACGCTGCATCCATTTTTGGATGATTCTTGCTGGCTTGGCTGAAATTCTAGCAGTGTATGGCCCTGCCGAAAACACTCTTTTCAACAAAATGTAATCATTTAATTGATCTTTGTTGAAGAGGCATGTCGGAAAATTGTCAAACAAACAGTGCCTGCCTACAATCATATGGCTGTCAGAATACAAGTAGAAGGAATTTCTCAATTTGCTCTGGTAAACTGGCCATTGTTGCTGGTTGCTGATGAATTGGATCAAATTTGCTTAGTGGGTGGCCTGTGGACCCATTCCCACCTGACATCTTTTAATAAAAAAAATGTAACGGAACGCATGCTCAGATGCCATTAAATTTAATGGCACCTGACCACGTGGAGCAGTTTGGCAAACTGCATCGTTTGACACGTGTCGCTTAAAAAAAAAAGACAATCATGGCAGAACCGAATTCTTGCAATTCAAAACGCCCTAGTGTAAATGGGGCCTTAGCTACTGTTTGGATATTTTGCCCCAGCTGTTTGACCTGCAAGCTGAATGATACACACGATCAGTTTGGCCCTGTATACATGATCAGAATATCATACGAAAAATGTCGTATTTAAAGCGATCATATGATAATCTGATTGTTAGTACACAGCAATCATCTGAAAAAAATAGAAGGGACAAGCACGAAAGTTTTTATCGTACGATACCAGATTGTACAATTTTCATTTAACCAGTAAAGTAGACATCTGAAGATACAATATAAATACATTACATTCTTCTGAATTATTATTCTGTTGTTAAAGAGTTTTCGGAACTTTAGTAACCCCTTCACTTTTGATATAAGACTAGCATGCAGAAAAAAATGGACGATCATTTGTCCAACATTCTAAATGTGTATACAGGGATTTAACGTGGATGGAGAATCTACACTATATTGCCAAAAGTATTAGGATGCCTGCCTTTACACGTACATGAACTTTAATGGAATGGACTTAGTCAATAGGGTTCAATATTTTGTTTGCCCACCCTTTGCAGCTATAACAGCTTCAACTCTTCTGGGAAGGCTGTCCACAAAGTTTAGGAGTATGTCTATGGGACTGTTTGACCATTCCTCCAGAAGTGCATTTGTGAAGTCAGGCACTGATGTCGGACAAGAAGACCTGGTTCGCAGTCTCCGCTCTAATTCATCTGAAAAGGTGTTCTAATGAGTTGAGATCAGGACTCTGTGCAGACCAGTTAAGTTCCTCCACCCCAAACTCGGTGATGCATGTCTTTATGGACCTTTCTTTGTGCACTGGTGCACAGTCATGTTGGAACAGGAAGGGGCCATCCCCAAACTGTTCTCATAAAGTTGGGACCATGAAATTGTCCAAAATGTCTAGGTATGCTGACACCTTAAGAGTTCCCTTCACTGGAGTTAAGGGGCCAAGCTCAACCCCTGAAATACAACCCCACACCATAATCCCCCCTCCACCAAACTTTATACTTGGTTGTACTGTTCTCCTGGCAACCGTGAAACCCAGACACGATTGCCATACAGAGAAGTGCTCTCTACACACTGTTATTGTGCTAATCTGAAGGTCACATGGTGTTTGGAGGTCTTTAGCTATTGACTCTGTAGACAGTTGGCGACTTCTGCATGCTGTGCGCTTCAGCATGCGCTGACCCCACTCTGTCATTTTACGTGGCCTAACACTTCGTGGCTGGGTTACTGTTGTTCCCAGTTGCTTCCGCTTTGTTATAATACCACTAACAGTTGACCGTGGAATATTTAGTAGCAAGGAAATTTCATGGATAGACATTGCACAGGTGGCAACCTACCACAGTACCACTCTTGAATTCACTGAGCTCCTGAGAGCGACCCATTCTTTCACCCATTCTTTCACAAATGTTTGTAGAAGCAGTCTGCATGATTTGCTTGTGCTTGATTTTATAGACCTATGGTCTTGGAGGGGATTGGAACACCTGAATCCAATGATTTAGAGGGGTGTCCCAATACTTTTGGCAATATAGTGTATAAGTGTATAAGCTGCTAGAGAATCACTTTTAATAAACCAAAGTTGTGGCCTGTATAATGTTTCTGGATCTGATAAGAGAGGTAATAGTGTTCTATATCAGAGTAGCCCATAGCCTCACACTTCCTCAATAAAAGACAGAAGAATACTAATGTAAAGGTGTATACATACTGTAGGAAGATGCATATTACTAAGAATCTAAGACAATATAAGAACTGTATTTGGTCCTTTGAAAAATCTGTTTTATGTTTAATAGGTGTGATGTAGGATTAGCATGTTTTTTCTCCATTAGAGAGAGGAGACATGAGAAGGAGCAAAAGTTCTGACAGCTGAACTAATGCAAAGAGAAGGCATCTTAAGGTAGGAGAGAAAAGTCATCTTTACCCACCATGTAAACATCCTTTTACTGCAACCCTAGCCTCAGGGGAACACAGTATCATAAACTATGTTCAGCCAAGTGATATGGATTACTTTACTGTTTTTTCTTCCTTGGGAGTAGTGTAGTAACAGCATACTTTACTGTCTTCCTTAGGCACGGTGTGGCAAAGCACGCTTATTCTCAATTAGCAAGAAATGTTATATATAATAATTTTATCACATTCTGTATGTGAAGTTTTCTACATTCAAGTGAAAAAGTTTATTGATCAAATCAGTCAACAGCAAAACACTGACATCCGGTACAAATCTCTGTAGATATACTATACTAGATGTACTTTCGGAATTATGTATACCAGAATGTCATATAATGCTTCAAAGTTTCCAAAGGACCACAACCTGTGCACAGTCATTATTAATTAGGGAAAACAGTATAAGGTTTTAGAAGGGTGTGGTCCTAAAGAATATAGAATATTACTTTTTGCCAGTGTTGGCCTCAAATGTTATTGCATATGAAGGTCAGTTTTTTGAAGACTTAATGAAAAGAGGATTTTTGTATTGACTATACAGTCCTTTTTTCTTGAGTCTTTTATGAACACACCTTTGATCATAAATAGAAAGCTAAGGTGACACTGGTTATACTGCCACCTACAAGAGCAATGGACATTAGGCACACAGAAAATTTAAAGGCTACCCCCCCTCGAGGCTGTAGCCCCTCCCACCTCCTCAGATGTAATCAGTAATTCAAAAGTAAAACAATAGCACATAAATAGAGGGGGCTGTGTCACTCAGTGAACCCAGGGAAAAGGATATTACAGTGAATATAAAAAAATCCTATTTTCTCTAATGTCCATTGAGATTGGACATGGCTTTGAGGGTAACAAGCAACCAAGGGGTGTCCAAAAGCAGTCCAAACTTAAGGACAGGTAAACAACACAGGTGTACCAGACCAACATGAAAAGCCAAACAAAGCAAACCCAACTAAATAGCCTCTTGCAGAACATTTTGAGCAAAACTAGAATTGGAGCAGCAGACACAACATCATAAAAAAAGAAAAGTATGTGCAAAAGATCAGGGTACAGTCTTACATATCTGTGACACCAATGCCTGGTAAAAAAAAAGCCAAAAAATAACTCCCTTCCCTTGTGGAGAAGGCTTTAATGGGAGGCACTTTATCTCATAACCCACACCCCTGCACAATAATTTGATGAATCTACCGTGGATCTGAAAGCCAGAGAACATCACTCAGGACCTTCTGAACTGACAAAAAATGAATCAGTCTGCTTACAAGAAGCAGAGGCAGAAAGGGAAACCCTAATCGCCATAACTTCAATCAGGCAATGAAGAGAAATCTACGATGACAAGGAGACACAGATTTCTTTACTAGTCTTTACTAGCACTTCTAGCTGGATACTATTAGTTGTAACGAGTATCTAGTTTTCTGTCTTTGAAGGCACTCTGGGTAAAAAAAGATGTGTAAGATCAAATAAGGCTCAGTTCAGGATGTTGCTGATAACTCAGACACCCTTGAGGGACAAAGATATGTCCGTAATCAGTCCCAAAGAAGGCATTTGTAACACTGACAATACAAGATTAAGAGGCAATGAATGTAGGCCTAACAGAGGGAACAACATGTGTAATCCCTTGTATAAAAGTACAAATTAGCAAATGATTATCAAGAGAACAAAAAACATGGACAGTGCAGAAACCTCTGATAGTGCTAAGGGACAAGATTGGTTCTACCCCCAACTGCAGGAAAGAACATGTATCACTAAAAAAACCAAAGACCAAGAAATAGAGTAGAGGATTGGTCCCTGGGATAACAGATATGGCTGATCCAGCAGAGGTCACAGAACATCAGTTAATACCCAAACAAGATCAACTATATTTCATTACCTCCCACACCCATGCATTGGCCATGCAAGTTACTCAAAACTTTGCAAAAGCTCTCTCAGGCATCCTACTATGTCTACTGAAATTATTGAGTGCAGATCTCCATTCGGTGATGGATTAATCATTAGGCTTGGACGCCGTTATTTTGCCACGGACATGTTACAGAATGCTCCACCACTGAATTGCAACCTCTCATCCTTTAGGAATGGTGAGAACCGCCCCTCAGAAATACAACTTTTTTGTTGGCGGCAGATAAACATTTCATTGGAGATTCAAAAGGAACAAACTACAGCTTGGTGCATGTGCACGAGCCCCCTCCACACTTCATGCTGTCATCAAAAGCAGAAAAAACAAACATTGCTAGGCTGCCAGCATACAAAGAAAGGCACACTTTTCCCTGTAAGTCATAGTGACAATAATGAGGTTGGATTCTGCTTATAAGTAAGGTCCAGCTTGCTGTAAAAGAACTTAAATAAATAAACATAGAAAAGGTTAGAAACAAAGGGATACATTTTAAATCACAAAGATTCTATTTAATTACATCCCAAACTATAGCAAGAAAAATGCTCCCAGAGTCTCAAGGAAAATAAGAGGAAAACTTCCCTGCTAAGGTTGTCCTTACAGGCTTTGTTTGCCAGTGTTCAATCACCTGGAGGTGGTTGCATAACCCATGGCCTAACTATATTATTGGTCTTAGCACTGCTCTATAAAGTGATGAAAGGCGAATTTGGAAAATATGTGAGCCCTGCATTTAGTCTTGAAATCCTTCACTTTCAGATTCTCAAACACTCCAATAGTTTTGCTGCAGTCAGTGGAAGTCAACACCCCCCCCCAGATATCCTTACTAGTCTAAAGCACTTCTAGCAGGATAACATTAGTTGTAAAAAGTATCCAGTTCATATTTACAGTACGTACCATTAATGATTGCTATTACCAGAGCATAAATTTACACAATGAACCAGCAAATACAAATGCTCCTGTGCTTGGGGATGGACTCGATGCAGGCTGCAACCACATTAAGAATGTCCAGGAACATGCACACCATGCTGCCCTCAACAGACCGGGGGAATCCAAATATACTGAATGAGGAAAGAACAAAGAGAGGGTGCACAGGCCTAGTGCATTACCATAAAAAATGTTTAATAAGAAATAAAATAGGTGTTGTACTCACAAACGAGAATAAAGTCAAGGCACGTCATAAAAGAACAGCTGGGTCAACACCGCGCTGAGTAACAGTCCGCAATGGGGAGTTTAGACATCCAATAGGCTGACGAGGACTTGTGGCTCTGAGGAAGAGGCAAGTCCTCGAAACGCGTCAGCCTATTGGATGTCTACATTCCCCATTACGGACTGTTATTCAGTGCGGTGTTGACCCAGCTGTTCTTTTATGATGTGCCTTGACTTTATTGTCGTTTGCGAGTACAACACCTATTTTATTTCTTATTAAACATTTTTTATGGTGATGCACTAGGCCTGTGCGCCCTCTCTTTGTTCTTTCCTCATTCATAAATTGACACAACTTAATCAGTAATACAGTAAAATAGTATTTTCTTCCTACAATACAATAGCAAATTATCTTTTCTTTCTTCATAATTGATGTCCCTTTATCCATTTTTAATGTTTCTGGAGTAAAAAGTAGGTTTGTTAAAACAACTGCGTATTGCAGCTCCTCAGAATCACATTTAGTTTGCTAAAGTGTTGTATATCAAACACATACTATCTTTTATTAATACTTGTTTTCAACTTTTCCTCACCATTGTTGCACCTCAGCCACCTGCAATCTTTTTTGAAGCCACTTTCTGTCTACATACATGCTCTCCATGGAAGCATGGCATTTCTCAAGGTGTTTTCAGATGGCAACACCAGTGGACTTTGCCTGCTAAACGTGTTGGAACAGCCACTTGTAGTGTCCATCAGAATCCCATGTGATTGGATGACAAAAGTAGTCCCAAAGGGTCCAGTAAACGATTGGTTAAGTGGGAACTGGGGGCATAGAAATGAAGACATCTGTTCTACCTCTTTCATACAAGAACACAACTGGGAGCCCAGGTAGCTTATAAAAGAAAGTTTCTTAACAAAAACCTTCATGGTTCACAAGGTATTTTAATGAAAGTTTCACATTTAAAAAGGACAGAGTATGACTTAAATATTACATCCACATGCTAAAGCTTATAAGAGATTTTAGTGAATGGTTTTACATATAATTTAACAGAAATAGCAGAGTTCACAGAATGTATTTACACATGAATATACATTGACAATATGGCAAGGTCTGATTTACCACTCAATATATCTATTAGAAATCAACATTACTACATTAGCTGCTGGGAACTCTCCATGGTGCCGTTTTTCTATTTTATGAGCCATGTCAACTACACTACTCTCTAAGTACAACAAATCTTCATGTACATCTATCTCTCTTGTGGTGATACAATCTAATATTACATTAACCCATTATACAATAGGACTCATAGAAATAATTAATATCAGATTGGTTATAAAGAAATAAAACATATCTAAGCAGAAGGTTACATTTTGCTTTTGAGGAAACCTAACAAGTTCTCAACCTTTCCCGCTGTATAAAATAAAAAGGCTTGTCTGTAGTTGGGCTGTATAGAAAATCTTCAC